CCGGGCCTGCAGGCAGCCAGCCCCGCGTGTCACCCCACGAGTGCTTCTGGGGGGGTTTAGTACAAAGGTTGCTCACGTAAGTCATGAGTCTGCACGGCCTCAGCAGGGCTGTGTGTGAGCTGTGGCCCTGCCCCAATGCCATCTCAGCAGAGTTTTCACCCAAGTACCATTCATCCGGAGAGATGTCCTACCTCCTCCTCGTACCCCTCAAACCAACATCAGCTCAGAAACAATGTAGGATGTAAGTCGCGGAGGGCAGAGGAATTCCTGCCTGGCTTCCAGGTGGCACAACCCAATAAACCTTTCCTTGTCCCCTCACCATCGGAGCTCCGCCAGGCTTGCAGCGCAGCTCTGCTCTTGCCTTGCCCCTTTTATCATTGTTTCAGCATCACGGTGAGGGATACGAAATCACATCATCTAAAAGCAGCCTGCTAAACACACCCTGGAAGACAGGTACACGGTACAGAGCAAAACAAGGAATTTGATCTCGGATTGAAAAACATGTAGCATATACTGAAATTCTTGTTTCAGAAGTTAAAAAGAAACAGTGAGCTACTTCCTAGCACCTTCCAGCACTCCTTTCTCACCAGTGAAGCAATTAGACAGGAAGAGAAAGTGCACTTTCCATGGGTCAGCCCTTCCAAAATGAGTTCACGGGCACTCTTGCAGGGTGGTGGCAGAGCTGTGAGCCCCTCTCCTCCTGCCCAGACCCAGGTGGCTTCTCCTTGTCGGATGGTGTGGCTTTGTAGGGCAGGCAGGGGAAGCAGCGTGGGCAGGAGATATGAGATCCCAACCAGGCAGTGTGCTGAGCTGGGCATGGCCTCAGCCCCTCACACTCGCCAGTCAGCGTCCTGGAGCTACTGTGTACCTGAATGCATAAACCAATCTGGGTACCGCCATAGAAACACCCCATAGGGATGTCCAGCCATAGGGAACACTTCCCTAGGGGCATCCAAATACTGCTGGTGAGTTTCAGGGCTCTCCTCTGCCTTAGTTTTTCCCTGTAACTCTTCCCTTTCCACTTCATCGAACCTCTTTTTATCTGTTTGTATTTCATATCCTGCTTTATTTGTCCACTGGCTTCTCTCCTCATTTTTCTTTCCCTGTTCTGTTAAAAAATAAAATAAAATAATCAAACCTATGTAATGTATTCTTATCAGACATAGTTATCAGTACTTCAAGTATTGTTAGGATTGGGTCATAGCTAATTAGCGCTACAAGAATTTTGTATCTAGATAGTTAATTTTGCTTTATTTTTGAGCCTATATTAAAGCATCACTCAGCAAGCACTGAGGAGTGGGTTTAGTGTGATGACCCCAATCCCTTTGGAATCAACACCCCATTCTCTAAAAATGGGCACTTCTACCCTTTCAAAGAATTGAACAGACCTCGTGCTGTCTTCTCAAAGACACACAACAGAAGAGAAGGGGGAAGACGCCCACTCCCACCTCCCCCTCTTTTTATGCTCTAGTCCAACGGGCAGCACGCTCGCCCCAAAAAGGGGGAGCCCAGCTCCGAGTCCCCAGAACCCCCCCACACACAGAACCTGCCAGCAGGCCTTAAGAGCGTGTTTTTTCTGGGCATGCAGGGAAACAACTGTGTCCCTGCCCCACCAAGGGCCTGAAATGGAAATTCAGAAGCCCCGTTATAACACGTTGTAACATCACGGACGTCCCGTTAACACCCAGGTATCCTGAATTGTGCTGGGGCACTTATCCTGTGCCAAGTCTGGTTTACTGAAGCGAAGGCACAGCCACCTTTTCTACCTCTGAATTAAAAGAAATGGATAGCTGCACTTTAAGAGGACATCAGTCCTTACGGTGAGTATTTGGATGTGTGGAGGGTGCCCCATACCCACTTCCCAGGGCCCTGAGGTGGAGGAAGACTCAGCCTCACCCAGCGTGCACTAAATGCTCATCCTTGTGGGAAAAGTGGCTGACTGAGTGATAGATGGAGTCACAAATATAGGTGATGTGAGAACTTTAAAACAGAAAGTAAAGGGCTACGGAGGCTTCTGGCAGGGCAGCATGTGAGCTAAAGTTTTCAGGGTCACAATTTTGGAGTCTTCTGCAGGTGCTCCAAAGTCTTTTGGCTCTGACCCACAGTTAGTACCCGGCGTGCAGAACTGAAGGCTTAGCTGTCGGTGCCAGTTTTGCTGTACAAATGTTTTGTCAGAGCCCAGGCTTTCAGGAGGACCTGCTGATGTGATAGTCGTCTTCTGTGGCTAAAATACCATTCACACCCATGGCTCTGGTATGTTGCTTGTTGGAACCTATTTTGTACACCAGAAAACAAACACAGAAAGAGCAAGAGCAGAGAGTGGGCATTCATTTTTCCAAAGGTGCTCAAAAATATTCATTTGCATTAGGTGAGATTTTTGCCCAGGTGAACTAAGAGGAACCAGCCAAGGACCCTTGGCACCAGAACCCCTCTGTTCCCACAGTCAGCCCTGAGCCCCATCTGGGGCAGAGTTACCAGAAGAGGGGGCAGAAGCCCAAATCTTAGGAGCAGCCCCATCACATCACTTGGTAGGGTTCAGACTCAATGTGAACAAAGCATAACTCTCTCTGCCCTGGATGCACATAAAGCAATATACAGTCTCCCCCCTCCCACCCAACTAAAAATACATCGTATTTATAAAGCATATTTCCTCTGTGTACTTTGTCAAGCTTCAACAGGAAAGAGAGGACTGGTTTTACCCACGATGTACAGCCAGAATAGGTGAGAGCTGGCAGCGTGACAGTGAGACTGAAATATAGCTGTGGTCAGCCCTTGGAGACAGCCTGGCTTCTCCCCCCACAAGAGAAATTGCTTCTGGGCATCTGTGATGTATTTCTTCCTTTTCCTCCAAATCAGGGGTTAGAAGGAAGATGAACCACATGTGAGAAGGATTCATTAATTGTCCAGGTGATCCACTGAGGAGGAGAAAAAAGTTGCTAATAAAAGGCTTCTGCCCCAGGGGTGGGGGAATGATTTTAGGTGGCTTGTTCACCTTTGACTGCAGGCTGTAGCAAAGCACAGACTAGGCCAAAATAAGAATTTTTGAAGGTAATGGGATATATTTTTCATCTATAATACATAGTAAAAGATTTGGGGTTGCTGTGGACTTTATGTTATTTTTCCAAGTTAATGTTTGCAGCAGAGTATGTCTGTAATGTGAGTAATCAGAATATGAAAATTATTGTCTGATAATAGAGATAAGGAGTTATGGCTTGGTTTGCTTAGACTTTATTATGGGCTGGGATTTTTTTTTTTTTTGTTCCTTCCTCCCAAATCTTATTCTGATTTTTCTTAAGTGTTCATATTTTTCTATAAAAACTACACAAAAAACCCCCATGTTAATCTAGTGATGGATGTTCTTGTAGTTGCAAACAGCTGTGCTGGAAGCTAACTGTCCTATTTACTCCTAGATTAGAAATGTTATTTAAATGAGTATTTTTGCCACTTCAATTGTAAGAGTACTCTAACTGGACTGAATTTCATTAATGTTGAGTAAATAGATGGCAATTTCTATTCTTCAGTCTGCATTGTGCTGCCTGACACGATTCTTGCTTTTCCTGGTGCAGAACACCTCCAGTACTCTCATAGCAGCCAGAGAATACCCCTTGGGGAATTAATTTAGAACTTTGTATGAAAACCTTTTGGAGTACTTTGGGTATAAGATGCCGTGGGCTGCAGGAGGTTTTTCAATTGTTAGATTTAAAATGAAAGAAAGATCTAACTTGATAATGGAAGAAGTTAGAATACAGATTCCTTTTGGAAGAAGAGACAGGCTTGGCCTCAAGTTATGTACCCACTGTGCCTCAAACCCAAATAAGCATCAGGGAAAAGCCTCTTTTCTTTTAGGCCCTTCATATCTACTTCAATAAGCCTTTCTTGACAGGTTGTCAGACCACTCTGGTTTTACAATGAGGCCTCTCTCCTAAAAGGCAGGCTGTAAAAGGGGAGTAGTAGGAGTTAAAGTCTTAGCTCTCCTATTAATGAACTATGGTGTGTGGTGCTCTCTTTCATCAAGAAAAGAACAGACTTTCTTCTCGATGTGGAAGAGCAGAAAGTGTAAATCATCTTGCTGTCATCTTCTCTTGCTATCACTTAGCTGCAGCCCAAGCACCCAAGTCACTTGAAGATCTCCAACCCTCTGTGTCTCCTCACCCATCAGAATGTCTGGACGTGGAAAGAAACATGCCGTGGCACCCAAACCTGGAGCGGCACCAAAGAAAACCAAATCAGCCAGGGCTGGTCTGCAGTTCCCCGTAGGTCGTGTCTACAGGCTCCTTAAAAGAGGGAACTACGCTCACAGGATCGGTCCGGGCGCTGCCATCTACCTGGCTGCGGTGCTGGAGTACCTGAGTGCGGAGATCCTGGAGCTGGCAGGGAATGCTGCACGGGAAAACAAGAAAGCCAGGATCCTGCCCAGGCACATCCAGCTGGCTGTGAGAAACGATGATGAGCTGAACAAGCTCTTCTCCTGTGTGACCATCGCTCAAGGAGGGGTTATGCCAAATATCCTTTCGCAGCTCCTTCCCAAGAAAACTTCCAGAGATGCTGCTCCTTCTCAGCAACAAGGTGGTAGCCAGTGAAACTGGCTTGGTCTGGTCTGTGCACTTATGGATGATGGGACTCGTAGCACTAATTTGTATGTGTTTCCTTCTTTGTCAAGTATTTTTCCTGCTAATTTTAATGTCTTTTTAAAGCTCGTAATAAAGTTTCTAGAATGCAACACTATTTTCCTTTCTTTTCTCAACTTCCCTTCCAGGGATGGAGGAACACAGAAAATGTCAAAAAAGTCTAGCATACCACCCAAACAACTTTTTAAAAAGTCAAATATATGTTTACTTTTGAAAACATGCTACAGGTAACTTGTGGAGCAGGTAGAGGAGCCAAGACACACACTGCTGTTCATATGAACTTTCCTCCACCACAGATTCATAACACAACTAGCTCAGCCCTTCAGAGGTTGTTTAATGTGGCTTTTTAAGTTGGTAAGCCTGCGCTTCAAAGTCTTACTGCTTGTAAAGCTATAGTGAACAACTACCTCTCTTTAGACTGCTCCAACATGACACTAAACCTCCATCTTGTCATAACAACCATAAGTAGTTTATTTAAAATCTGGTGCAATATTTGTGCTCTTGGTAGAGGTGACTGTCTTGCTTCTGTCTGTCAGTGCAGAGAAACAGAAGTCTCCATATCCAAACAAGCCCCCAGGCCTTTGCTGACCAAGTAATTGAGAGTCTTTGCCCAGGAAAGTGCCCAGGGTTTCTTTGTTCGTGGTGGGTGCTGAGGCTTGCTGTTGAACTGGAAAGCAGGGATCTGCTGCAGCTGCGTTAGGATCAGTTTGCCCCTAAGGCAGCATCTCACAGTTTTCATAGCATCTCACACAAAGAAGAGCTGGCTAGGACCAGCTTCCCAAACTGTTGCTGGAGCATGAAATTTTGAATTGAAAAAGACCTGCCTGTCCTGTTGAGTTTGACCTAGCTCCTTTGGCCCCCGCAAGGCACGAAGGTGTCAGAGCCTACTGACCAGGTTTGACGATGCTGACAGACGTCAGAGCTGCATGTGGCTGAGTTAATGACTCACTCATTACACAGAAATGGGAAGAGAGGATACCGGACTGAGCGAACGCTGTGATTTCAGGGTGGTGGGCAGCTAGAACAGTCATTGTACACTGCCTGGTTTTCAAGAGCAATTTGATGAGATCTTGGCTGGCCTGCAATTAACCCAGTGAAGTGAGAAAAAGTAGAGGATGCTGTAGCAATGAGAAGTAAAAATGTCTGAGAGTAGATCTTAAGCTTTGTGCATATAGTAAAGATGTGCTCTATGTTACTAGCCTTGTGCTGAATGTTTACACCTGTAAATGGAAAAAAAAAAGCTTTAAAGGAGATACATGAGAAATGAACATATGAAACTCAATTTCCTCCATTTGACTATGGCAAGGGAAAGCAGGCTTGGGAATGATTATTTCTTTGGACCAAGCAAAAAATCCAAACCTTTGCAGTAATGGTAGAAGACTCAAGCAAGGTACTAATTTTGTGCAGTTTGAAGCATGGTGCTAGCAGCAACCTTTGCTAATCTGGAGTGCTGTGTGTCAGTCATCACGCCGCTCCGGGCTGCGAGCTGCTCCCGTGAGCCTGCTCTGCACCACACCAAACAGACCCTGCAAGGCATAGCCAGTGCTCAAGTAGCTTCTAAAATGCCTTCCCCTGCCATTTTCTATATGATAACAGACACTGAGTGAGCTGTGTGGTCTGACCTCTACTTATACCCAAAGACAGAGTTTGTGGTGAAGTCCTGGTCCAATTCAAAAGTCAGTTTTTTAAGTATTTCTTTGATCAAGAACAATCTTTTTTGCTTTCTTCTAGCCAATAGTTCAACCTATTTGTAAATTAACCACATAGCACAGGGATCTGAAAACTCACCCCTTTGGCTTCACAGAGAGTAGATGTCTCCTGACCCAGCTGCTCAGCAAAAGTTTCTGTTGGGCCAGGGCTCAACTTTCCAGCACTTGTGTATTGAAGAAAAAAAGCATTCAGCTGTCACCACAGCCTTGCCCCTAGAAAAGGCATATTATGCCTTGCAACACAGCTATGCATGACTTTGGAAAAAAAAATGGACCGTATAACAGATGGGGACATGTCCTAGAAGAGAGAGACCCCAGCATCAGAGCCCCTGAGCTTTCCCAGGCTCTGCAGCATGGTCACAAAGCAGCTTGGCCACTGCTGGCAGCACAAGGAACGGTGGTACAGCTTGCTGGGTTTAATTCTTGGTGCCCGCAGCAAGGTGAGGTTTGCCCCCTTCCAGCTGTGATAAATTAATTGCCAATCAGAGATACTGCAGTAAATATTAGGCTTGTTTCCAGATGCGATCAGCTAACAAGGTGCTAAGCAGCTCTACAAGGAGCAGTGACAACTTCTCATGCTCTTTTGGACTGTACTGAGTTACTCTTGTGTTGGAGCTTTGACTGGTTTTTATTTTGAGTGGCTGAATCGTTGCTCATCCAGGTGGCATTAAGTGATGCAAGAGCTGGTAATGATACGGCTATCATTGTGGAGTTTAGAAGGGGACAGTCCTGACTAGAAGTTAGGGTTTGGGTGGTGGTATTGTTGGATAGGAGGTTAAGATAGTAATCTTTTTGGGTGGGAATTTGTTCTTGAGGAATGACAGCATGCTTTCTTTGTGTTAGGTTAAACTTCTGAGTTAAATAATGGTTTTGTAAATTCTGTGTTTGGTATAAGGCTGTTTAAGGAGGCTTTTAATTTATTTACTTGTGTAGACTATTTTTAAAAGTTTGTCTTTCTAAGGCCCACAAAAATCTCCTAAAATAACTTTTTATTGTATTTTTAAGCACTTTGATTTGACATCTGATTTAGTTCCTCTCCACATCTGGGTAGAGCTTCTTATTACTTAAGAACAAGTAATGATTAAAACTTGAGAACAATTCTATATGTAAAAGCAGAATTTTCCTATGTTTGTTTTCCAGTTGCTTTGTGTTATGCGTTGAAGAGTAATTGGTACTATTCAGTGCCGGAGACTTTATGTCAGTATTAAGTAATAGGTGTTGTTAGGATGGATGCAATCCCATACAAGCAGGTGGTACTTGCACATTTGCAGTAGCCTGATGCACGGTATGCTGAGCAGAGCAATTTCAGTGTCTGATGTAAAACAAAGCTTCTCCTCCTCCCCTAAGTCTTGTTCCTGATTGTGGCCTGTTATCTTGCAGCAATAGGTCCTCTCACCTCTGGAAGACAAGATCCATTTGAAGTGGCTTCCAGTAGATGAAGTTCTTGTCTGTTGTTCTTACTTCAGACAGAGATAGGAATTTCTAGCTCTGGCTCTCACAAGGTCATCATTGCAGAAACTGCTTAGGTTCTTACCGGGGGTAAGTTCAATGAAGTTTTCCTGCAGGGTTTCTGAACACTTGTAAGTATCTTGAAACCTAGATTGCTTAACCTTTCTCTTTAAGAGCAGTCCTCCTTTGATACAGGGTCAGAAGACCTTGCTCCTAAGTTCTACCTTACTCTCTTGAAAAGTTCTGGAAACCTAGCAGATGCCTGACCTGCTGCTGTGACTGAGCTTGTAGATGCCTCATGGCTTGAAATTTGTCAGACTCTCCTAGAGCAGCAGCCTGACCCATCTGCTCCTCCACACAAAAGTATGAACAACTGGCCAACTTTCTGAGAGGGGAAAAATGACTTGTAAGGGAATAAGAAAGGCAGTGAAATGAGGAGGAAGGAAGGACTTAAATGCTCACTTTCTGTCTGTCTTGTTTTTTTAACCCGTTCTCTTTTTATACTAGATAGGTGTTAGAATGTCTGAACATGGGAAGAAAACCAGAAAGCTCCTCCTTGTGCCAAAGAAAACCAAATCAGCCAGGGCTGGTCTGCAGTTCCCCGCAGGTCGTGTCTACAGGCTCCTTAAAAGAGGGAACTACGCTCACAGGATCGGTCCGGGCGCTGCCATCTACCTGGCTGCGGTGCTGGAGTACCTGAGGGCGGAGATCCTGGCGCTCGCTGCATGGGAAAACAAGAAAGCCAGGATCCTGCCCAGGCACATCCAGCTGGCCGTGAGAAATGATGATGAGCTGAACAAGCTCTTCTCCTGCGTAACCATCGCTCAAGGAGGGGTGTTACCTAATGTTCTTCCTGAACTTCTTCCTAAGAAGACCGTCTCTCTAAAACCACCCCACAAATATGTCCAGTCACAGGAGTTCTAGCTGCCACCAGGCTCCTGACCTTGTGGTGATGTTAACGCTGGCTTTCTCCACAGCTCAGAGTTTTTCATGCTGGTTGGCATTTTTGGTCTAAATTCATGTGTGCATGTCTGAAAAGCTGCTAAAGAGAGGGTTACTTACTAGTTAGCTTTCCCTAGCTGTGTCCTTCAAGAGGAAAAAGTCAACAGACTACTTCCATGAATAAATAAGTGTGCAAAGGATTCATGTCTATCTTATTCCCTTCTATAAAATATTTGTTGCACCAAACGGAAGATTTTCTTTGGCAGTGCAGTTATCTAAGGAAACCTGCTTTATAGTCTTTAAACTTGTGTCTCCATGTGCATGGCTGGAATCTCCTTATTCAGTATGTGTAGAAGTCTGCTTCATCTGACCCCTTCAGATGCCCCTCCCTGTGGGCACAGACAACTGTCCAGTATAAGTAGATGCGCCTCAGAAACTTGAACTGGACTGTCTTATAATGATGGTAAAGCTGATGAATTATCTTCTGTAACATTTGGATATGGAGGTGGGGCTGTGCTGTCACTGCATACACCTTGGTCCAAAGATGGTGTTGGAATTGCCCTTGGAGTTTCTGCATTGACGGAGTGCAATCCAAGGAGTCTTCTACAGACAGTATATAAACCTTGTCCGTGCTTGAACCTTAAAGATCTTCTAGAAACTCACTCTTCTTAAGAATGAATCCAAATGTAATTTCTACCTCTCTGGTACTGAGAATCTCCTTAGCTGCTTTGAGGTTTGTTCCATCAGGATCCAGACCAAGGAAGCCTGTGTGTTAAAAGGCAGTTCAGGACGTGGCCTTTTCCAGGATCTTCCAAAACTCTTGTCTTCCACCTATACAGCTTGAAAGGCTACCTAAGCACCGGATTGCCACATTATGGTGGACACACAGTAGTATTAATCTCTCTGCTGTACTGCAGAAGATTTTTGTTTAACAGCTTCACCAGCAGTATGCCACTCAAATTTAGGAGCCTTATAACTGCATTATTAGGTGTTTGAATTATTCTGTTCATAACACAGAACAGGAAGGCCCTGGTGTCCACCAGCTTCAGAGATATTAACCCAGCCAGGTAAAAAGGCTATTTAGAGAACTGCTTCAAGACTGACACTACCAGCCCAAGGTTTTGGGAGCCTCTGTTTCCCATATCTGCCCTAGAATAACCTGTATGATGCTGCTGCTTTCTCTAGTGTAACTCAAATCCCTCCCTGGTTTTCTGGTCTTGTGAGAATTGAGATCTTTTGAAGAACGGGCTGCAGAGAGCTCATCTCTTTGTATAGGCAGGCTAGGGAATTTAAATGAAGGGCAAGAAGCCAGGAATGAGGTATTGTGGGACTGCAGCCAGAGGACTTTCTGTATGTGAAACCTCTGGCATGTGTGCAAGCTGCAAACACCTTCTAGAGGCTAGTCTGTGAGATGAGGGGGGGAGAGTCTGTTGGTATCAGGTCTGTCCCTGCACAAGGGGCTGCTATGAGCACCAGAGAGAAGTGGTTTGTAGTGTGGATAGCAGACAAATGTTGGTTTGAGGGCAGCCGTTGCTATCTGTGTAAACGTGGCAACCTTTGGCTAGAGATCTAGAGGGTGAAACGCTGCTGACCTGCACCACAAACCAAACCCTCTGTCTTGGAAAGCAACGGTGGCTCCTTAGGGGGCTGCTGGATGTTTTTCTACAGCAGTTTCAATCAACATTGACCCTACGAGCTGTGCTTGAAGAAAAACAGTCCCTTGTTCCCCTGTCAGGCTGAGGGTTATGTTTCATGCTGCGTTGGCTCAGAGCCTTGCTCCTGGCCTAAGCCAGCTGCCCACAGCATGGGTGTCCCTGCAGCAGCGTGGGCTTGTGCAGCTCCTGCCACGCTGCACCGCTCCTGCTGCACCGACACAGCTGCTCACGGCATCTGCTGCCAACCAGGCTGCTGGCCTCGTGTGTTAAACTTCTTGTTTTTCTTCTGCTTCTTAAAGCAAAACATCACCCTTTGCAGTGGTGTTAGCACAACTTGAAAGTTTCTATGGGAGCAGGAAGAAGAGGTGGAGGGTGGGATGATGGCTGGAGCTGCTGAGGGAGAGGCTGGTTTTGATGCCTCTATGATGTGAGCTGTGACTATGAAGCCCTGTGGGAATTTCAAAGATGTCTGGAGTGAAGCTGTATCACACCAGGTACATGAGTTGAGATGTGATCCATGGAACAGGAGGTTTCAGCAAACCCGTGTGCCTATAGAAATCCTATTGAGAAGAAGGAGGAAAATACCCCAAAACACACAGACACAAAAAAAGGGGAAATTAATGGAGAACTTTCTCCAAGTCTCAGCTCTTCTGCAGAGGAAGCAAAGCTTGACCCTGGCTTGTGTAAGGGAATGCCCCCACCTTGAGGAGCTGTATGGCCTGTGCTGGGACAAGCTAGCCAAGAGGTGCTGCTGCTGGCCAGGGTGCAGGACTCAGCCCGAGATCCGGTCAGAGGGAAAGCAGCCGTTGGGGTGATGCTGGTTGGTCTCTCTGTCTTTGATGCCAAACAACTAACTCTGTACATCTTATACTAAACTCATCTAGCTTTACCAGAAAGTTTATGTAGGCTGAAGCGTGACTACAGGGTGGCTGGCAAGCTCAAGGCACCCCATTGCTCCAGAAGCAGCAAGCTGGGGCAGCTGTGGTCTGTCCCTGCTGAGTGCCCCAGAGGTGCTGTGGGGTCTGCAGCGCACATCTGCTAAACTGCAAGGAGGGGAGAGGCATCTTCAGCAGTGGCTCACCCTCACTTTCTTGGCAAAACTCGACAGGTGAGGACAAACTGGAGGAATGCTGGAAGAAGGAGATGGCACTGACAGGTCCAGGGAGAGCCACAGGGAAAAGGAGCATGTAGGAGTCCCAGCAGCTATCATACAGCTCTGCTCTGGCTTTAGGAATTAGAGCTGATCTGTAGACACACTGGTTCCTGAACTATGCCTTGCTGTCGCTCTCCAGTTCACTGCTCACGACTACAGCTTTTCTGTTGCAATTCTAAATGTAGAACAACTGGTGCATTCATTCCTGGGTTTTTTGTGAAGTCTTGAGACAATAGAAAAGATAATGCTCAATGTTAAGATATTAATTTTGGGAAACTCATTCATTCTCCCAATTCTGTTTCTTCCTGCAGCTGTGAAGCCTATTTTGTCTTTTATTTTTGAAGTGCTCATGACTACAGCTTTTCTGTTGCAATTCTAAATGTAGAACAACTGGTGCATTCATTCCTGGGTTTTTTGTGAAGTCTTGAGACAATAGAAAAGATAATGCTCAATGTTAAGATATTAATTTTGGGAAACTCATTCATTCTCCCAATTCTGTTTCTTCCTGCAGCTGTGAAGCCTATTTTGTCTTTTATTTTTGAAGGGTCATTATACATGCTTCAATGGGGTACTTTTAATCTTTCATTAAAAAAATCCAGTCTCAGTTTAAATACACAATAAAACATATATTTAGTCTTCTAGCACATCCTCAGTACTGTTTGTTACCAGGTTGTGCACTACTCTACCCCAAATAAATACCTTGCTAGTATGTGAAGAGTATGGTTTGTGACGGCTGTCCTAGCAGCTGGGTCAGACTCTGCTCCTGTTTCTACCACCATTGCCAGCCTCACTTCTTCCCCAGTCTCTCTTCCTCAGCTCTCCTTTATGTCACAACTTACGTACCTCCTTGACTTCGGGTGGCAAATTGCTTATTAACTAGCTAATGTTCATTGACTATTTTGAGGCTGTTGAGTGTTAGAACTACTGGAAAATATTGTTTTGTTTATACAAGCAGCTCATTAGACTCCCAAACGAGGGGTTATATGAAGAGAGCGCTTGGGAGAAAACAGCACAGCCTTTTCCAGCATTGCGATGAAAAGTGTGTTCTTTCCAGCTTGCTCCAACTATCTGTGTGGCTTTCTGTGCGGTGCTGTGCGTAGCATCTGTGAGAATATTTTTGCCAACACTGTAGTGGTAGGTTTTCTTAATCATTCTACCCAAAAAAAGACAAGTTCACTTAAACTCAGCTAGTAGCCATTTTAACATTTATTATGCCTGCAACAACTTGGCAGCTGAGGAGTCAGTCAGGCTCTTAGAGATGTGTAACCAATGAACCAGCAAAATGTGCAAGCTGACCCTGCGTTGTCTCTGTGCTCTGGTGTCCCTTGAAAGCAGGGAATGGGGGACGTGGTCATTAGGCTGAGTTAGATTTTAAATGCATTTTTTAAGGTGGCAGACCCAGAAAAAGCATTCACTACATCAACTTGCTAGCTGCATCCTTTGTCAGAGCACAAGCTCTCTACCTGCCAAGCCAAGGAAGGAGCACGCATGTTCTCAGGCATCGCCTGGTCTGGGTGTACCTCTCTTCTTCCTAAGCACCAGAATTTCGGTGTCTTTCCAGACATGCCCCTGGTCCAGGAGGTTTTGTTGAAGCTGCTTAAGGCTCGATTTGGCCACTATGCTTTCTTTTGGACTTGCTGCTGTCAGCCCAAGGTGTTAGCAAGCTCTGTTGTTAACAGTTTGCCCTGGAGCTGCGTTGTCCCAGCACCTTGCTTTGCACCACATATTGAATCCAAAGCCACCAAGGATTCATGGTAGGTGAAGGTACCACGCAGAGCCAGCACAGCAACAGAAAGAAGGAGCCTGACTCTGTTACTCAGTGGTTAGGCAAATCAGCAGGGACACCAGCATTTCTTTTTTCCTTTTTTTTTTCAGTATATCTAGTCCACATGTGATCTCAGCCCACGAATACACTCCTAGGTATCATGCCACATAGCAATAAAAGGCGGAGTCAACAGGCCTACCTTGTGTGATGCAGAATGCAAGAGAAGCACAAGTTAATAACCTGAAAATAGCTGTCCTTCATCTAGGTCAGAGGAGAAACTTGGCTCTTTCTCCTTGTAGCATGCACTGAATCCAGGGCACTGGTTAAGCTGGAATTAATGTCAAAACAGTGAGGTGCTGTGTCAAGCTGTCACAGCACTTGGCCGACTTTTTCTTTTGAAACTCAGATA